CTATGACGTTGTGACTCTATGACGTTGTGACTCTATGACGTTGTGACTATGACGTTGTGACTATGACGTTGTGACTCTTATGACGTTGTGACTCTATGACGTTGTGACTCTATGACGTTGTGACTCTATGACGTTGTGACTCTATGACGTTGTGACTCTTATGTTGTGACTCTATGACGTTGTGACTCTATGACGTTCTGACTCTATGACGTTCTGACTCTGACGTTCTGACTCTGAAGTGGTGACTCTATGACGTTGTGACTCTATGACGTTGTGACACTATGACGTTGTGTTGCCGCATCAACAGTTGTGATGCGGCAACACAACCGTGACTCAGCAGGAAACCCACTCAACACCCTCCACCTGCTGCTCTACAACTCTCACAACACAACACTGTCACTGAGAAGGAACAGGGTAATTTCCAAAATACAGTGCCTTGCGAAAGTATTCGGCCCCCATTGAACCTTTCAACATTTCGCCACATTTCAGGCTTCAAACATAAAGATATCAAATACATTTTTTTTGTCATGAATCAACAACAAGTGGGACACAATCGTGAAGTGGAACAACATTTATTGGATAATTTAAACATTTTTAACAAATAAAAAACTGAAAAGTGGGGCGTGCAATATTATTCGGCCCCTTTACTTTCAGTGCAGCAAACTCACTCCAGAAGTTCAGTGAGGATCTTTGAATGATCCAATGTTGTCCTAAATGACTGATGATGATAAATAGAATGCATCTGTGTGTAATCAAGTCTCCGTATAAATGCACCTGCTCTTTGATAGTCTCAGGGTTCTGTTTAAAGCGCAGAGAGAACCATGAAGACAAAGGAACACACCAGGCAGGTCCGAGATACTGTTATGGAGAAGTTTAAAGCCGGATTTGGATACAAAAAGATTTCCCAAGCTTTAAACATCTCAAGGAGCACTGTGCAAGCAATTATATTGAAATGGAAGGAGTATCAGACCACTGCAACTCTACCAAGACCCGGCCGTCCCTCCAAACTTTCATCTCAAACAAGGAGAAGACTGATCAGAGATGCAGCCAAGAGGCCCATGATCACTCTGGATGAACTGCAGATAACTACAGCTGAGGTGGGAGAGTCTGTCCATAGGACAACAATCAGTCGTGCACTGCACAAATCTGGCCTTTATGGAAGAGTGGCAAGAAGAAAGCCATTTCTCAAAGATATCCATAAAAAGTCTTGTTTAAAGTTTGCCACAAGCCACCTGGGAGACACACCAAACATGTGGAAGAAGGTGCTCTGGTCAGATGAAACCAAAATCGAACTTTTTGGCCACAATGCAAAACGATATGTTTGGCATAAAAGCAACACAGCTCATCACCCTGAACACACCATCCCCACTGTCAAACATGGTGGTGGCAGCATCATGCTTTGGGCCTGCTTTTCTTCAGCAGGAACAGGGAAGATGGCTAAAATTAATGGGAAGATGGATGGAGCCAAATACAGGACATTTCTGGAAGAAAACCTGTTGGAGTCTGCAAAAGACCTGAGACTGGGACGGAGATTTATCTTCCAACAGGACAATGATCCAAAACATAAAGCCAAATCTACAATGGAATGGTTCACAAATAGACGTATCCAGGTGTTAGAATGGCCAAGTCAAAGTCCAGACCTGAATCCAATCGAGAATCTGTGGAAAGAGCTGAAGACTGCTGTTCACAAACGCTCTCCATCAACCTCACTGAGCTCAAGCTGTTTTGCAAGGAAGAATGGGCAAGAATTCCAGTCTCTCGATGTGTAAAACTGATAGAGACATACCCCAAGCGACTTGCAGCTGTAATTGCAGCAAAAGGTGGCTCTACAAAGTACTAGCGCAAGGGGGCCGAATAATATTGCACGCCCCACTTTTCAGTTTTTTATTTGTTAAAAAAGTATAAATTATCCAATAAATTTCGTTCCACTTCACGATTGTGTCCCACTTGTTGTTGATTCTTGACAAAAAATTAAATTTTTATATCTTTATGTTTGAAGCCTGAAATGTGGCGAAATGTTAAAAGGTTCAAGGGGGCCGAATACTTTCGCAAGGCACTGTATCAACACAACTAAAGAGTGGTAACTCTGGTGTTGTCAGCGGTCTCCCATCACGGTGTGCCTCACTGTGACCCTGGTGATGACAGAGGTCTCCCATCACGGTGTGCCTCACTGTGACCCTGGTGTTGTCAGAGGTCTCCCATCACGGTGTGCCTCACTGTGACCCTGGTGTTGTCAGAGGTCTCCCATCACGGTGTGCCTCACTGTGACCCTGGTGATGACAGAGGTCTCCCATCACGGTGTGCCTCACTGTGACCCTGGTGTCAGCAGTAGAGTCAGTGAATCAGATGGATCTGTGATAATGCAGTAAGAGACGAGAATTATTATCAGTGACACTTATTATCACAGACTCAGCAGTTCTCGTTGTACAGTCTGACAGCTGCAGGGAGGATGAACTAAAATGACCAGATGAAACTCAGAGAAAACACTAAAGTGAAACCGATCATTATTTATTTAAATATTGACACTTTGTGTCCGTAAAATGTGACGAAACTGAAGAGAATGGACTTTGTTAGAGTTTTAGTGTAAGTGCTGTGTGTCTGCAGCACTTTAAAGACCTTATGCCGGGTTTTTTTTTTTAAATTTGTGGATATCAAAATTGTATGACAATGTCAGTCTGAAAGAGATTCCGGCAAAAAAATCCTATATTTTATAAAAAGAACGTGTTTTTCATGAATTTAAGCTGTCTATGCTCTAACCTGTGTGTGACGTCATAGCGGGTTACGCCCATGCATTGAAAACCATGGATCTATGCCACAGGACTGCCTTTTCTCTCTTCTCTCCACTGATGCCCAACACAATACTGCACTCTACAGGTGACAATTGCTCACTACACATAAATTACCGTTTTGAGAGTGAAAAAGTGTCTGAAGCGGGATTTAAACCCCAGTATCTGGATTGGTAGTCCATCGACACAACAACTGGACTATCCCAGTGACAACGAAGAGTTACAATCTAGTATTTGGGTCAGACTCGCTGTACACGGCCTTGTCATCTTGAATATCCGCGAAAAAAGAACGAATACCAAATTGTAAACAACTTACAGCGTTGAAACGTACCCACTCTGACGTCACCAAGGGCTGTCAAGTTTTTTCGTCTCTAAGGGCGTTGCTATGGGGTTATTTTGATTTGGGGGGATCAGAGAAAAAAAACAACTGATTTTGAAACCTTTTAGTAGTTCTCTTCTAATATAAAATGGTATTAAAACTGTATTTCTAAATAAATCAAACCCGGCATATGGTCTTTAAAGTGCTTATGCTGAGTGTAAATCCACTGTTTGTCCTTAAGCAGATCTTTGTGTTGACACAACACTGAGCTGCTGACACAGGTACTCTGTGTCTGAGCACAGGGACACACTACTGTGGATGTTCCACTCTGTATCCGAGCACAGGGACACACTACTGTGGATGTAACACTCTGTGTCTGAGCACAGGGACACACTACTGTGGATGTTCCACTCTGTCTGAGCACAGGTACACACTACTGTGGATGTAACACTCTGTATCCGAGCACAGGGACACACTACTGTGGATGTAACACTCTGTGTCTGAGCACAGGGACACACTACTGTGGATGTAACACTCTGTATCCGAGCACAGGTACACACTACTGTGGATGTAACACTCTGTGTCTGAGCACAGGGACACACTACTGTGGATGTTCCACTCTGTATCCGAGCACAGGTACACACTACTGTGGAAGTAACACTCTGTCCGAGCACAGGGACACACTACTGTGGAAGTAACACTGTCTGAGCACAGGGACACACTACTGTGGCTGTAACACTCTGTCTGAGCACAGGGACACACTACTGTGGATGTTCCACTCTGTATCCGAGCACAGGTACACACTACTGTGGATGTAACACTCTGTATCCGAACACAGGTACACACTACTGTGGATGTAACACTCTGTATCCGAGCACAGGGACACACTACTGTGGATGTTCCACTCTGTATCCGAGCACAGGTACACACTACTGTGGATGTAACACTCTGTATCCGAGCACAGGTACACACTACTGTGGATGTAACACTCTGTATCCGAGCACAGGGACACACTACTGTGGAAGTAACACTCTGTCTGAGCACAGGGACACACTACTGTGGATGTAACACTCTGTGTCTGAGCACAGGGACACACTACTGTGGATGTTCCACTCTGTATCCGAGCACAGGTACACACTACTGTGGAAGTAACACTTTGTATCCGAGCACAGGTACACACTACTGTGGAAGTAACACTCTGTGTCTGAGCACAGGTACACACTACTGTGGATGTAACACTCTGTATGTGAGCACAGGGACACACTACTGTGGAAGTAACACTCTGTGTGTGAGCACAGGGACACACTACTGTGGATGTAACACTCTGTATGTGAGCACAGGGACACACTACTGTGGAAGTAACACTCTGTATGTGAGCACAGGGACACACTACTGTGGAAGTAACACTCTGTATGTGAGCACAGGGACACACTACTGTGGATGTAACACTCTGTATGTGAGCACAGGGACAGGAAGTACAACAGTATTGCACTCCATTCTTATATGAAGTAATGAGACAGAATCAGCACCAAAGAAAGGAACAATCACTCGAGTTGTTGGTGAGGAGAGTGTTTGGTTTGGACAATCGTCTCTGCTCTGGTCTGGACCAGTGTAAAACCATGAACACTACTTTACAGACAGAAAAAAATGTGACAGTAACTGATTGTGTGTCTGTGTGTTTGTGTGCCTCTGTGTGTGTGTGTATGTATGTCTCTCTCTCTCTCTCTGTGTATTTCTGTGTGTGTTTTTGTGTCTGTGTGTGTCTCTGTGTGTGTGTTGCAGGTGGGCAGCCTGCGTGTCTCCGGATGTGGACCCCTCTGTCCTGTGTGTGTTAGGCCTGATCTGTCCCATGAGCCTCTGCTGCGGACACTGACCAGGGCTGTGGCTGCTCCACCATGGACCAGCAAAGGGACAAGTATGGAGAGCGGCCCTCCCGGAGCACCAAAGTGTCCCAGGGCAGCCGCGGCGGGCACCCCTCCAGGCCCTCCGGCTCCTCCAGCTCCTCCGGGGTGCTCATGGTCGGACCCAACTTCCGCGTGGGCAAAAAGATCGGCTGTGGGAACTTTGGGGAACTGAAGCTGGGTGAGTCCAATCATAAAAGTTTGTTTTGGGACTTTAGAGAGAGAGAGAGACCAGAGAGAGAGAGAGGCAAGAGAGAGATAGAGGCGAGAGAGAGATAGAGGCGAGAGAGAGATAGAGGCGAGGGAGAGAGAGAGACCAGAGAGAGACCAGAGAGAGAGAGACCAGAGAGCGAGAGACCAGAGAGCGAGAGAGACCAGAGAGCGAGAGTAACCAGAGAGACCAGAGAGAGAGAGAGACCAGAGAGAGAGAGAGACCAGAGAGACCAGAGAGAGAGAGAGAGACCAGAGAGAGACCAGAGAGAGAGAGAGACCAGAGAGAGAGAGAGACCAGAGAGAGAGAGACCAGAGAGAGAGAGAGAGACCAGAGAGAGAGAGAGAGACCAGAGAGCGAGAGAGACCAGAGAGAGAGACCAGAGAGACCAGAGAGAGAGACCAGAGAGAGAGAGACCAGAGAGAGAGAGACCAGAGAGAGAGAGACCAGAGAGAGAGAGACCAGAGAGAGAGAGACCAGAGAGAGAGAGAGACCAGAGAGAGAGAGACCAGAGAGAGAGAGAGACCAGAGAGAGAGAGACCAGAGGGAGAGAGAGACCAGAGGGAGAGAGAGACCAGAGGGAGAGAGAGACCAGAGGGAGAGAGAGACCAGAGGGAGAGAGAGACCAGAGGGAGAGAGAGACCAGAGAGAGAGACCAGAGAGAGAGGGAGACCAGAGAAGGAGACCTCTCATCAATGAGAGAAACCCCCCTGTAGTGATAGTGTTTGTTGTCGTCTAACCACATTGTGTTGTGTATTAACCAAACCTTGTGTGATTGTTCCAGGTAAGAACCTTTACACCAACGAGTATGTGGCCATCAAACTGGTGAGTGCCGGATTCGCTTCAGAATCTGTAACCATTCTTTTTATTCTAGTAAACATAAGTTATACACTCATTACCTTTTAATGTGGTGTTAACTAAGAGAGAGGCCAGAGAGAGAGAGACCACAGAGAGAGAGACCACAAAGAGAGAGACCACAGAGAGAGAGACCACAGAGAGAGAGACCACAGAGAGAGAGGCCAGAGAGAGAGAGACCACAGAGAGACCACAGAGAGAGAGGCCAGAGAGAGAGGGCCAGAGAGAGAGGCCAGAGAGAGAGGCCAGAGAGAGAGGCCAGAGAGAGGCCAGAGAGAGAGGCCAGAGAGAGAGGCCAGAGAGAGAGGCCAGAGAGAGAGGCCAGAGAGAGAGAGCCAGAGAGAGAGGACAGAGAGAGAGGCCAGAGAGAGAGGCCAGAGAGAGAGAGAGAGAGACCACAGAGAGAGAGGCCAGAGTGAGAGACCACAGAGAGAGAGGCCAGAGAGAGAGGGAGACCACAGAGAGAGGGAGACCACAGAGAGAGGGAGACCACAGAGAGAGAGAGAGGCCAGAGTGAGAGACCACAGAGAGAGAGGCCAGAGAGACCGACCACAGAGAGAGAGGCCAGAGAGACCGACCACAGAGACTGACCACAGAGAGAGAGGCCACAGAGAGAGGCCACAGAGAGAGAGGCCACAGAGAGGGAGGCCACAGAGAGGGAGGCCACAGAGAGGGAGGCCACAGAGAGGGAGGCCACAGAGAGGGAGGCCACAGAGAGGGAGGCCACAGAGAGGGAGGCCACAGAGAGGGAGGCCACAGAGAGGGAGGCCACAGAGAGGGAGGCCACAGAGAGGGAGGCCACAGAGAGGGAGGCCACAGAGAGAGAGAGGCCACAGAGAGAGAGAGGCCACAGAGAGAGAGAGGCCACAGAGAGAGAGAGGCCACAGAGAGAGAGAGGCCACAGAGAGAGAGAGGCCACAGAGAGAGAGAGGCCACAGAGAGAGAGAGGCCACAGAGAGAGAGAGGCCACAGAGAGAGAGAGACCACAGAGAGAGAGGCCAGAGAGAGAGTAGCTCTCAGGTGTTTTTCTTTGTTTCACCGTCCGTTGTGTTTGTGACGTTTTAGGAGCCGGTGAAATCTCGGGCCCCACAGCTGCATCTCGAATACCGCTTCTACAAAACACTAGGAACCACAGGTGAGTTCATACTGTTCATTTGCTGTAAAACCACATTGGAATACTTGTGCAAGAGTCCCCAGTGTGCACCAGATAAGTTCAGGAATAAAATAAGGTAAAAAGTACAAAAAACAATCAACAAAAACAGCTTCAATATAAGATCATTGAAGGTCTTTGTTCAGACTGAAAACAGCTGAAAGAAGCTGTTAGCATGTTAGCATGTCCAGATGTCCTGCAGCCAACCATACCTTTGCCAGTGGGAAGAAGCTGGAACATGGCTTTTTCCAGGGGCCAGAAGAGTCAGGGAATATTCTAAGATCTGGATTTAAGTCTGGTTAACTCTTCTCTCTCTGGTCTCTCTTCTCTCTGGTCTCTCTCCTCTCTCTGGTCTCTCTCTGGTCTCTCTCTCTGGTCCCTCTCTCTGGTCTCTCTCTCTGGCCTCTCTCTGGTCTCTCTCTCTGGCGTCTCTCTGGCCTCTCTCTCTGGTCCCTCTCTCTGGTCTCTTTTCTCTCTCTCCTCACTTTGCGCTTTCCCTGCTCTCTCGTCTCCCTCTCTTCTCTCTGTTCTCTTTCTCTCTCTGCTCTTTCTCTGCTCTCTCTTTTCTCTCTCTCTGCTCTCTCTCTCCCTTTTCTCTCTCTCTGCTCTCTGTTCTCTCTCTGTCTCTGCTCTCTCCTTTCTCTGTGCTGTCACCAGACCACACAGTCATTAAACAGAGTCAAACCCAGAAACTTAAACCTCTTCCACTGGTCTCTCTGATGTGGTCTCTCTGGTCTCTCTCTCTCTGGTCCCTCTTCCACTCTCTGCTCATGGGACTCATCAGTAACAGCAGATGTATGAGAACCACTAAAATCAAAAACCCGTCACATGTTTTCGCTGCCAGAGACTGCTTTCCTTTCTCCTCTGAACCACTCCGGCCGAGCCTTAGGAGAAAGAATGGCTCAAACATGCATGAGTCGCTGAACAAACACCTGCGAGTGTGCACCCGCCAAGGGAGAACTACTAGAACGTGGTCCGAAGCTGTGAAAAGTCTCCTCCTTCTGTGTTCAGGTCATGTTAGCTAGCTGTGTTAGCGCTGTGTATGTAAACGTACAGCACAGTCTCAGGGCGGAGTGGTAGAGGAAAAGGAGGTCACGTTATCCCATCTGGAGGAGCGCAGCTAAGGAGGGGCAGACCCGCGCTCTAAATATTTAATGAGTTTCCGCACAGTTGGCCTTTTCCAACCGCTGCTTCTGTGAAAACAATGGTCATGAAATCCTCCTGAAGCTGGATCAAAGAGCAGCGAGCATTTGGTTTCTTTGCCAAACGGGGACCAAGGCCGAGAAGGTGGTTCCACATCTGTCCCCACACACCCCTGATTACAAACACATTCATGTACCTTTAACATCAGGGCTCCTCTTCACGTCCCTGATTACCTATGTACGGACTTGTTCTGGCTCAGTTTGCATGTTCTTCTTGTGCAAGTTTAAAACCCTCGTGAAGATGGAGGAAGCAAACTCCGGTTTTGGTTTGAGAATAAAGATGGAGGACCAAGCTTTAAAAATGTGAATAATACATTTAGTTGTAGATCCAGGACTGAGGCTGTAGACCCAGGACTGAGGCTGTAGACCCAGGACTGAGGCTGTAGACCCAGGACTGAGGCTGTAGACCCAGGACTGAGGCTGTAGACCCAGGACTGAGGCTGTAGACCCAGGACTGAGGCTGTAGACCCAGGACTGAGGCTGTAGACCCAGGACTGAGGCTGTAGACCAAGGACTGAGGCTGTAGACACGCGGTTCTGGTTTCACAATTCAAGATTCCGTTTATTTTTTAAGTTATTTAAAACATTCTGTACAAAACTAATTCAAATCCATGATAAACAAAATCTAAAAACCTCTCTATACGTTTTTAAACTTTCACTATGAAAAGTCTAAAACCACTCGTTACAACACTTTCTCAGTGAGAGTTTGAATCCATTAAAAGATGAACCTAAAGCTTCCTCCAGTAATTTGTTCCAGCTTCTGTCGCACGACAGCCGAGACACATTTCTTTAAACTCTGGTTTGTTAAAGTCTTATTAATTATTAAGGCCACTTTACTCTGCAACAAAAAGCTCTTCAGAGCCAGCAACCCACCCTCCACACTACAGCTCCTGGTTTAGGGTCTAGTCCTGGTATAGTCCTGGTATAGTCCTGGTATAGTCCTGGTATAGTCCTGGTATAGTCCTGGTATAGTCCTGGTATAGTCCTGGTATAGTCCAGGTTCAGTCCAGGTTCAGTCCAGGTTCAGTCCAGGTTCAGTCCTGGTTCAGTCCTGGTTCAGTCTTGGTTCAGTCTTGGTTCAGTCTTGGTTCAGTCTTGGTTCAGTCTTGGTTCAGTCTTGGTTCAGTCTTGGTTCAGTCTTGGTTCAGTCCTGGTTCAGTCTTGGTTCAGTCCTGGTTCAGTCCTGGTTCAGTCCCGGTTCAGTCCTGGTTCAGTCCCGGTTCATTACCGGTTCAGTCTTGGTTCAGTCTTGGTTCAGTCTTGGTTCAGTCTTGGTTCAGTCTTGGTTCAGTCTTGGTTCAGTCTTGGTTCAGTCTTGGTTCAGTCTTGGTTCAGTCTTGGTTCAGTCTTGGTTCAGTCCCGGTTCAGCCTGGTTCAGTCCCGGTCCAGTTTCGGTTCAGTCCAGTAGGTTTGGACCAAGCCTATCCTGGATCTAGGTTTTCTTGTCAAAGTAAATATAAACGAGGAGAGAAACCAGGATAAAAGCGGTATTCTGCTGATTGTGTGTGAGAAACCTCGTCAGGTGCTCTCTCACATCTCACTAAACCACAACGAGAGAAATGAAACCCGACCCGTGATGGAGACGGTCTGTTTTTCCGTCCGCTACAAGGACAAAGAGGAAAGAGGGAGGACACTATTGAGCTGCGAGAGAGAGAGGCCAGAGAGAGAGAGAGGCCAGAGAGAGAGAGGGGCCAGAGAGAGAGAGAGGCCAGAGAGAGAGAGAGGCCAGAGAGAGAGAGAGGCCAGAGAGAGAGAGAGGCCAGAGAGAGAGAGAGGCCAGAGAGAGAGAGGCCAGAGAGAGAGAGAGGCCAGAGAGAGAGAGAGGCCAGAGAGAGAGAGAGGCCAGAGAGAGAGAGAGGCCAGAGAGAGAGAGAGGCCAGAGAGAGAGAGAGGCCAGAGAGAGAGAGAGGCCAGAGAGAGAGAGAGGCCAGAGAGAGAGAGAGGCCAGAGAGAGAGAGAGCCAGAGAGAGAGAGAGGCCAGAGAGAGAGAGAGGCCAGAGAGAGAGAGAGAGAGAGAGAGAGAGAGCCAGAGAGAGAGAGAGGCCAGAGAGAGAGAGGCGCCAGAGAGAGAGAGAGGCCAGAGAGAGAGAGAGGCCAGAGAGAGAGAGGCCAGAGAGAGAGAGAGGCCAGAGAGAGAGAGAGGCCAGAGAGAGAGAGGCCAGAGAGAGAGAGAGGCCAGAGAGAGAGAGGCCAGAGAGAGAGAGAGGCCAGAGAGAGAGAGAGGCCAGAGAGAGAGAGAGGCCAGAGAGAGAGAGAGGCCAGAGAGAGAGAGAGGCCAGAGAGAGAGAGCAGAGAGAGAGAGAGGCCAGAGAGAGAGAGAGGCCAGAGAGAGAGAGAGAGAGAGAGAGAGAGAGAGAGAGAGAGGCCAGAGAGAGAGAGAGGCCAGAGAGAGAGAGAGGCCAGAGAGAGAGAGAGGCCAGAGAGAGAGAGAGGCCAGAGAGAGAGAGAGGCCAGAGAGAGAGAGAGGCCAGAGAGAGAGAGGCCAGAGAGAGAGAGAGGCCAGAGAGAGAGAGAGGCCAGAGAGAGAGAGAGAGAGGAGGCCAGAGAGAGAGAGAGGCCAGAGAGAGAGAGAGGCCAGAGAGAGAGAGAGGCCAGAGAGAGAGGAGAGGCCAGAGAGAGAGAGAGGCCAGAGAGAGAGAGAGGCCAAGAGAGAGAGAGAGGCCAGAGAGAGAGAGAGCCAGAGAGAGAGGCCAGAGAGAGAGAGGCCAGAGAGAGAGAGAGGCCAGAGAGAGAGAGCCAGAGAGAGAGAGAGCAGAGAGAGAGAGGCCAGAGAGAGAGAGAGGCCAGAGAGAGAGAGAGAGCCAGAGAGAGAGAGAGGCCAGAGAGAGAGGAGGCCAGAGAGAGAGAGAGGCCAGAGAGAGAGAGAGGCCAGAGAGAGAGAGAGGCCAGAGAGAGAGAGAGGCCAGAGAGAGAGAGAGCCAGAGAGAGAGAGAGGCCAGAGAGAGAGAGAGGCCAGAGAGAGAGAGGCCAGAGAGAGAGAGAGGCCAGAGAGAGAGAGAGGCCAGAGAGAGAGAGAGGCCAGAGAGAGAGAGAGGCCAGAGAGAGAGAGAGGCCAGAGAGAGAGAGAGAGGCCAGAGAGAGAGAGAGGCCAGAGAGAGAGAGAGGCCAGAGAGAGAGAGAGGCCAGAGAGAGAGAGAGGCCAGAGAGAGAGAGAGGCCAGAGAGAGAGAGAGAGCCAGAGAGAGAGAGAGAGAGGCCAGAGAGAGAGAGAGAGGCCAGAGAGAGAGAGAGAGAGCCAGAGAGAGAGAGGCCAGAGAGAGAGAGGCCAGAGAGAGAGAGAGGCCAGAGAGAGAGAGAGGCCAGAGAGAGAGAGAGGCCAGAGAGAGAGAGAGGCCAGAGAGAGAGAGGCCAGAGAGAGAGGCCAAGAGAGAGAGGCCAGAGAGAGAGAGGCCAGAGAGAGAGAGAGGCCAGAGAGAGAGAGGGCCAGAGAGAGAGAGAGGCCAGAGAGAGAGAGAGGCCAGAGAGAGAGAGAGAGAGAGAGGCCAGAGAGGCAGAGAGAGAGGCCAGAGAGAGAGAGAGGCCAGAGAGAGAGAGAGGCCAGAGAGAGAGAGAGGAGAGAGAGAGGCCAGAGAGAGAGAGAGGCCAGAGAGAGAGAGAGAGCCAGAGAGAGAGAGAGGCCAGAGAGAGAGAGAGAGGCAGAGAGAGAGAGAGAGAGAGAGCCAAGAGAGAGAGGCCAGAGAGAGGGCCAAGAGAGAGGGCCAGAGAGAGAGCCAGAGGAGAGCCAGAGAGAGAGAGGCCAGAGAGAGAGAGAGGCCAGAGAGAGAGAGAGGCCAGAGAGAGAGAGAGGCCAGAGAGAGAGAGAGAGCCAGAGAGAGAGAGAGAGAGGCCAGAGAGAGAGAGAGAGAGAGCCAGAGAGAGAGAGAGGCCAGAGAGAGAGAGAGAGAGGCAGAGAGAGAGAGAGGCCAAGAGAGAGGCCAAGAGAGAGAGAGAGAGAGGGCCATAGAGAGAGAGAGAGAGGGCAAGAGAGAGGGCCAGAGAGAGGGGCCATAGAGAGAGAGGCCATAGAGAGAGGCCAGAGAGAGCCAGAGAGAGAGAGGCCAGAGAGAGAGAGGCCAGAGAGAGAGAGGCCAGAGAGAGGCCAGAGAGAGGCCAGAGAGAGAGAGGCCATAGAGAGAGAGGCCATAGAGAGAGAGGCCATAGAGAGAGAGAGGCCAGAGAGAGAGAGGCCATAGAGAGAGGGGCCATAGAGAGAGGGGCCATAGAGAGAGAGGCCATAGAGAGAGAGGCCATAGAGAGAGAGGCCATAGAGAGAGAGGCCATAGAGAGAGGGGCCATAGAGAGAGGGGCCATAGAGAGAGAGGCCAGAGAGAGAGGCCAGAGAGGGAGGCCAGAGAGGGAGGCCAGAGAGAGAGAGGCCAGAGAGAGAGAGGCCAGAGAGAGAGAGGCCAGAGAGAGGGAGGCCATAGAGAGAGAGGCCATAGAGAGAGAGGCCATAGAGAGACGGGGCCATAGAGAGAGAGGCCAGAGGCCATAGAGAGAGGGGCCATAGAGAGAGAGGCCAGAGAGAGACTAGAGAGAGAGGCCAGAGAGAGAGAGGCCAGAGAGAGACTAGAGAGAGAGGCCAGAGAGAGAGAGGCCAGAGAGAGAGAGGCCAGAGAGAGAGAGGCCAGAGAGAGGGAGGCCAGAGAGAGAGGCCATAGAGAGAGAGGCCATAGAGAGAGAGGCCAGAGGGGGGTGCGTTTGTTTTGCTTACATACTGTATACGACCATGGCAAGTTTATTTGTATAGAACCATTCATACACAAGAGAACCCAAAGTGCTGAGCAAGAAATGAGACTTAAAATCATAAATACCATGTTCAGTCAGTATCCAGAGGTTTACTTCAGAACCCAATTGTTCAAGAAGGGGTTGGAAGAAACAGGTGAAAAGCCATATCCTGTTAGCTCTCTGAAGCTAAGCAGGGAAGGGCCTGGTTAGTGCTGTGATGGGAGACCTCTGGGAACAGCAGGTGCCACAGTGGGGCGGCTGTAAAGTGCCAAACTGTGGCTGTGTCCTTAGGCAAGACACTTCCCCCACATTAGAATGAGTCTGGTGTGTGTGTGAATGGTTGGTGGTGGTGGGAGGGGCTTCTGTCAGTGTGCCCCAGGGCAGCTGTGGCAACAGTAGTAGTTTATCACCCCTGTGGTTGGAGTGAGTGAATAGAGATTTTCAATAAAGCACTGTATAAAACCAATTCATTATTATTATTATTATTATTATGTATGTAGAGTGCATAAAGGGGGAAGTCTGGGTATGGGTGGCTCTGGCCTCTGTGACCCGGGAGGAGAAAATGTAAAAAATATATGATAGTTTGTCTCCAACTTGTACAGAGAGTATTTGTCCAAACTGTTTCTGGAGGATCTGTCTCTCTCAAACTCGTTCCTGTCTCGTGCACAGACACATGTTTTGTGATTGCATCAACATGATATAAAGGTTGATGCAATCGTTATGGCAACAGTTTAAGCTGTTTAGATGTAGATGTACAACAGTGATACACCGAGGTGAAGGAGACTGACACTGACTGTGAACCCTGGGTCTGGCTCCTCTGGGTCCGGATCCTCCTACCCAGGCTTAGTCCACTACCTGAAGTGGGCCCCCAACTGGTTGCATATGGTAGTGCATCTAAACTAAAACCACAAAATAAATAAAGCAATTGAATAGTTCTCAAATAAACGTATAATTAGACCAAATGATTGGACAATAGTAAAAGGCTGAGACTGTCCATAACACCGTGTGTAGTGAGCGCTACATAAATAATGTTGACTGAGTTACAGTGAGGTGTAGCTGATCCTGTGTCTGTGTTGGTTCCATGGTTCCAGCCGAGGGGGTCCCGCAGGTGTTCTACTTTGGACCCTGTGGGAAGTACAACGCCATGGTCCTGGAGCTGCTGGGGCCCAGTCTGGAGGACCTGTTCGACCTCTGCGACCGCACCTTCTCCCTCAAGACGGTCCTCATGATTGCCATCCAGCTGGTGAGTCCTCCTTTACAGCAGGAGGTGGGAGCAGGAAGTGGGGGCGGGAGGTGGGAGCACGAGGTGGGAGCGGATAAATAATAATACTGATAATGATGATAATAATACAAAACAAGGACAAAGTGGAACAACACGACACATGTAAAACGATCAGTTAAAGTGGGTTTTAAGAAGTGTTAAAAAAGGAGACTGATGGAGCTAGCCTTAAAAGGTCAGCCATGTAGCTTGATGCTAGACCTATACAAGCTTCAAAAGTAATCAGTAACATCTTAAAATCAATTCTAAAACACAGGGGTCCAGAGGAGGGAGGCTGAGCGCACATTGTACCTGTGACTTAGTGAAAGTATGTTTCCTGATGCAGCCATCTTTGACTTTAGCATGAATAACTTTGTCTCCTTTGTCTCCTTCTGCTTTCAGCTCTCTCGAATGGAATATGTGCACTCTAAAAACCTAATCTATCGAGATGTAAAACCTGAAAACTTTCTGATTGGACGACAAGGAAACAAGAAGGAGCACATTATCCACATCATTGATTTTGGCCTCGCGAAAGAATACATCGACCCAGAGACAAAGAAACACATTCCATACAGAGAGCATAAGAGTCTGACTGGAACGGCACGATACATGTCCATCAACACTCACCTGGGGAAAGGTAGGTCCTCCACACATCTGAGAGCACAGGGACTGGTCTCCTCTGGGACTCTGAGGAGCACAGGGACCGGCCTCCTGCTGGGACTCTGAGGAGCACAGGGACTGGCCTCCTGCTGGGACTCTGTGGAGCCCAGGGACTGGTCTCCTGCTGGGACTCAGTCAGGACTAAACATGAGGAGGCAGCATTTCACATTTATGCAGCTAAAATAATATATAAATAAATATTACTTACTTAAAATCTATCTTCTTCTTGAAAATGTGAGACAGGCGTCTTCTCAGATAATGTTCAAATCCAGGTTAAAAACAGTTGTTTCGCAGCAACGACTGAGAATTTCTCTTTACCCTTTTTAATGAACTGTGATTATGATTTTAATGCCATTTGTTTAAGTTTAAGTTTATTTAGGAAAACCCATTTTCGAGGGGGTCCTAAACAAAAATACTAACATGTGAACACACAAACACACAAAACAATTTACGGAGCATTAAGAATAAGAAAAGAGAATAAACGTGCTCCTTCACACCCCACTCCTGCTAAAATGTTTTATTTGAAGAGAGACAAAGTAGAAACTATGAACAATAATGACATATGTACAGAATCCAGAACATTAGTGAAATAAACAAGGAGCACTTTGAGTCGTATGAACTGTGCTACATAAATAAACTTGGCTGTGTGTGTTTCAGAGCAAAGCCGCCGTGACGACCTGGAAGCTTTAGGACACATGTTCATGTACTTCCTGAGGGGGAGTCTGCCCTGGCAGGGACTCAAGGTCAGTCTGCTGTCATTCCCTCTCCCTCCACCAGGGGGCGCCACCCCCTTCAGAGTCACTCTCCACAAGATCCACAGCTTTACAACGGCTGCAAATCTCACTTTAACTCAGAGCACTAATGTTTTATGATGGATTGTTTTAAGTCTGCATTTTTAAAAATGCCCAAATTAATTTAAATTCAATTCAATGTTTAAATGAAATTGCCCAAATTTGGCTAAATTAGTTGTAGAATATTTGGACAGTCTTAAAACAGGAGTTACCAGTGGATCAAATAACACTGCAAATGTATCCACTCTCAAAACTAAAATTACACTGACAATAAGTGAAAAACCAGTAGAAATAAGTGAAAGGACCTGTCAATGTCATTGCAGAAGGTGTTTTATCTTAAAATGAGTGACAAAAGCATAAACTGCAGCAGAACTATGTGACTGTACATCCTTCACCAAACATCACCTGAAGGACTTCTCATCATGTGTGAAATTATACAAACACACAAATATGTTGGGAAAAAGCTGGAGACAGTTACACATGGTTTTATCTTCAGCCTCCATGAAACATACAGAATCACCAACGTGTTGTGTGGTTTCAGGCTGACACGCTGAAAGAACGATACCAGAAGATCGGAGACACCAAACGAAACACTCCTATCGAAGTGCTGTGTGAGAACTTCCCTGGTACGTCCGTCGTTAGCATTAGCATGTTCATCTGTGGCACTTCTCACTGGTTTATACAGAAGGGAACACATCACCCCTGTGTTAGTGTCCCCTCCACCGGCTCCCTGTGCGTTTTAAAGATGGATTTTAGGATTTGACTGATCACTTTTAAAGCTGGTTTTGGCTCCAACCTACATTCAGGAACCTTTGAACCCCCTACGAGCCCTTCTCCCGCAGCCTTAGATCCTCGGGCAGGTCCCTGTGACAGTTTTGAGGTCAAGGCTTTGGGTGAAGGTTTGACCGAGCCTTCTCCGTCCGCGCTCCTCTGCTTTAGAACCACCTGCTCGAGGAGATAAGGCACCTTCAAGATCTTCTTTTAAAACCCACTTTTACCAAACAGCGTTTAACTGTTAGTTTTAAACTTCACATGTTTTATTTTACCGTCTGCTTTGTCTTCGTTTTGTCTTCTTGTGTTTGCTCCGTCTGCTTTGTTTTCCTGTATTTGCTGTTTGACTTTGTATTATTATGTTATTTGTAGGGCTGTCAAAATTATCGCGTTAACGCACGTTAATTAATTTTTTTCATTAATCGCGTTAAAAAAATTAACGCATTTGACGCATGCCCATGCGTCCCATAATAACACTCAGAACGCCGCGGACACATGCGCGTGTGTAAGATGGGGACAGAGCAGGTCTCTGGGAATTCAAGTTTTGAAAGAATACACGCGTGACCGCGGGACACTTGTTGTTTCCTGTATGAACTCTGCATGATGAGCTGCGGGCGCCACGGCGTTCTGGACAGGTCCCACTTCCAGCGGCTGTAATGACGGCGAACGTCGCTGCGTAATGTGATCATATCCAAGACCACGCACAGAACTATTACAGAACTATTCTCTAGTGTGCGTACGTGTCTTTGCGTAACCGATGCACACAATATGTACAGCGCTGAAGCTGGACTGCGGAGCCTCAGTCTCCTCCGTGTCTTCTCCCGAAGTGCACTCGCTAAATTAAAGCTGAGGTACCTAATTTTCCTTTCGACTACCAGTTCATGTTAGTTGTGCCAAAAAAAGTAATGGTGTGAGCAAATCAAACAGATTTAATGACATTCTGCTTCAGACTATTTTGAAATGTCCCTCATCTGTAACAAACAATGGTTTTGGTCTGAGTCTAAACAGAAAGACAGAATGTTAATAATGTTAATGCCATTTTATAAGGATTTATTGTTATAACAAACAAATATAGTACATATGTTCACTAAGCTGTCATTTCCATTCAAACAACCATTTACAGAGAAATGTGGCATAATTTTGCTAATATTTTAAATGCGATTAATTACGATTAATTAATTTTTATGCTGTAATTAACTCGATTAAAAAAAATAATCGTTTGACAGCCCTAGTTTTTATTGATTATTATACTGACTGTGCAACGTTTTGTAAACACTGTTTTTGAATGGATTTATTATTATTATTATTTAACAAACATGTGGGAACGTTTTGTTTTGCTCAGAGGAGATGGCCACGTATCTGCGTTACGTCCGGAGGTTGGACTTCTTTGAGAAACCGGACTACGAGTATCTGAGGACGCTTTTCACCGAGCTGTTCGAGAGGAAAGGATACACGTTCGACTACACCTACGACTGGGTGGGGCGCCAGATCGTAAGTGACCTCCGCACAGGGGCCAGGGTGCCAGATACCGTACTGTGCTTCATGGCTGTTGTGTATAAATGTTCAAACAGCAGCCACAGATGACCAGGAAAGTTATTTGTAGAGCTCTGAGTGTTATCCCCCCGACCCAGAAATGGACTAATAAAGGGGTAGAAATGAAAGAATGAATGAGTTATTCATAGTTGTTACCAGGGTTCTGTAAAGTAGTTATGTCTCAGTCAATATCAAATCAGAATGGTAAACAATAAGCAATATTAACCACATTTGTAAGAGCTGGTACCATGTGTACTGGGTGCAGCTCTGACTGCCACCCCTCGACCCAGAGATGGATAAAGGGGAAGAAAATGGATGGATGATTGGACAAAAGACGCAGGGCCAACATAATATGGGGAACCATGGACTACAAAAAGCAAAGCCTACTCCATGCCTCTCCATAGTTTGGGTGTGTCCTCCTGCTCCCAGGTGCTCAGTGTCGCCATCTTGTGGACACCTGTGGAATTGCATCATTGCTAGAAATCTACTGCAGTTGGTGACGATGGCAGTTCTTACAGAGTTCCTGTCACAGTTTAATCTGCTGCATCGGTTCAAACCTTAGATTAAGAGTGTTGCGTCACAAATTCCAGAACAGTAGGAATGAGGAGCACACAGCACCAAATAAGTGAACAATAACTATGCTCATTAAAATAAAATAAAACCTCTAACTCTAGCGTCAAAGAACAAGTATTATGTTCAAGATAGAGATAGAGAAGAAGTATAACATTTTTACATTTGGCAAAATAAGTGGCAAGTATAAAGTACTGTGTATTCTATTGCAGTATGTAGTTATGTTAGCCTCTGTACATGTTAGCAGCAGTATGTTAGCATTGGTACATGTCTACATAGTTCTCCTCTCATGTGGGTGTTACATACAGTTTTAACACATAATTGTATTATCGAGGGACAGCCCACATAAAGCAATACCGTTCCATCTCTGCAGGACCAGCCAAGAAATGGAAAAGTGAACTGCTGTGGTGCTGAAAGCCTAATCCTTTGTTTGTTTTTAAAAAGCGTTACTTAGCTTTAGCTTCCTAGCCGTGTTATACTGATGCAGTATTTATTCACTGCCTTTAGACTGTGAGCCTGTTTTCCTGTTGGTCCAAAGTTAAAAATCTTGTTACCATGGCTGCGCATGAACATGCTGCGGCTTCTCTCTCTTGACAAGGTGACGTTTCTACCCTTTTCTACCATCCATCCATCCATCCATTTTCTACCCTTTAATCCATTTCTGGGTCAGGGGGGTGGCAGTCAGAGATGCCACCCAAGTCTCATAGCACCAGCCCCTTTTCTACCCTTTTCTGCAAACTGCATTTGCAGTTTTTGTGATCCGCATTGTTTTGCAAGATGATGTTGTACATCTTTTCCATGTTTTTGTGGAGTTCAGCGGATTTTTTACTGCCAAAGCTCTTTGCTAGCAATGAACAGAGGATGTGTTTTTAAAAGTAAACACACAGTTAGCATCTGAGCTAAAGGCTTTTTGAGCAGTATTTAAGACCTACAAATCCAGAGATATCATCTTCTGAAGCGCTGACAGGTCACCGAGGGCCCCACGCATCTGCAGCACAGTGGAGGCGTCACAAGAGGCGCTACAGGAGTCCCGGCCTCCGTGCAACTTCTACAGAGGGACTGTAGAGAGCATCCTGACCAGCTCCATCACTGCCTGCCGAAGGAGCCTCCAGCGCATCGTGAGAGCAGCAGAGAAGATCTGTGGAGCCCCTCTTCCCACCATTAAGGACATGTACTCCACCCGTCTCACCCGCAAAGCCGTCAGAATCACCAGGGACCCTACGCACCCATCACACAGGCTCTTCAGGGTAATGCCTTCAGGGAGGAGACTGCAGAATTTACGGAACAGTTCCAGTCGACTTAAAAACAGTTTCATTCACAAGGCCATCAGGAAGCTGAACTCCCTGCCCTCCCTCCCACCCCTCTTCCCCCCCCCCCCCGCTCCACAATCAAGGATGAGAGAAATATAATTTAAAACCATTCACTTGGTTTGACAAATAAAAATCTTGAATTAAAGCTCTGTGGTCCTGTTGCAGCCCACTCCGGTCGGCTCAGTCCACATCGACTCCGGAGCCGCCGCAGTCACGCGAGACCCGCACCGGGACAGACCCGCACAGCACCAGCCGGTCCGGAACCAGGTGAGACTCATCTGTGTCTATCGAGAACCGTTGTGAAAGACATAAAAGACCAAGAACCATAAAAACCCACAGCACAGGATTACTGTAGAGCAGGGTTTTCTGTTAGGTCCAATTCTCATGTGTTTGACTCTGCAGCTCTGGGACTGGGACTGGAACTCAAAAGTATTGGGACAAATCTCTGCTCAGCTTCTCCAGACGCGTCTAGTTCCTTATTTCTCATTTTACGTTCAGTGGCGGAAAAGCTAAATTTCTCAAAAGGACCCACCACAGTGCTTAGATCAGAGGAAAAATACCATAAACTAGGGTCTAAATCAGGGGTGCTCACACTTTTTCAGCATGCGAGCTACTTATAAAAGGATCAAGTCAAAATGATCTACCTACTACAAAAATGCAAATCATATATTTATTTCAAAAAATATTCTTTATATCTACAATGTATGTTTATGTACATGCAAAACCGCATGAGCCAATATAGCACAACACAACACAATTACCGATGTACATTTTTTGTTTACTCTGATGACTTGCACTGAATTGAATCGGCCAGGGATGCATAGTCCGGAAAATTGGTGGTAACTCGCTGACAAGTTTGTCGTGGTTTAGCTTTCCTGCACTGAGCGCGGTTGTTGGCGCATGTGCAGTCACCTAAGTGTCAGTAAAACTTTACTGAGTAAAACACAGATGTCATTTGACTGTGGTGCCATGTCCATGTGCCATGCCTGGTTTTTTTAAATCCAAATATTTCCCCTCCTCAGTTTATAAAATAATTTGCATCCACACATCTGCGTTATCAATCACCTTCGTAACATTCCAAACATGTGCGTCTCTTACGTCCTGTCCTGCGTTGGGGAAAAACACAGAAGTGGGCGGAGCTTTGATGCAGACGCCGGTAACGGCACTTTTACAGTCATAGAAGACACTCAGAGTAAAGACGTATGTTTACAAGCAGTGAACCCCGTCCTCAGCCCTGGTTTAGTCCTGGTTTAGTCCTGGTTTAGTCCTGGTTTAGTCCTGGCTTGGTTGTTTTCGAGCGTGAGTCCCCGCGATCACTTTGCTGCCCTCTGATGTGGAGCGAGGATGTTCGCTGCTGCGAGCATCTCACAGCCAACAGTTTTTAAGGTAGTATGATCCATGCTTCAGTGATCAGAGGAATTTAGGGGGTACTGTGGCGTGCGAGAACGCAAAACTCCGGTTTTCTCTGTCTACACACAAATGCATTAACGGAGTTTTCAAAAATCTCCACTTTGCCCGGAGTTTTTTGTATATATTTGTTTAGAATGTGTAATTTTTTCATTTATTTAATGCGATCTACCAATACTACCTTTGCGATCGACTGGTAGATCGCGATCGACGTATTGAGCACCCCTGCCCTACGCACTCGCACCCTTTATCGGGAACGCGCAAATGAGGGGCGCGAGGGTGGAAGTGCGAGTATTGGGACGGGGCCAGAGAGGTACTTGATTTGAAAAAAAAAACAACCCAAGCTCCCTCCCCCTTCCTTTCTGATTGGTCTACACGCTCTTACCGGAAGTATAGCATGCGCCTCGCTCAGTCTTTGCCTAGCGTCTGAGGAGGTGGGTCACGTTTTTACACTCTGCATGATTTCGGTTTTAATAATTAGAAAACTTTGAATATCCAAATTAAAATGTTATTTATGTTGTTACAAATGCAAATGTACAAGTCAGAGCCTTTTGAATCCATGTTTTAAGTCTGTAGTTTACAGTGATGGGAAGGTAGGAATGTTTAAGTGTGCAGGCCTTAAGCCTAGTGTTTCTACTGTAGGTTTATGTGATAGTTCTATGGATTCATTATTTTATAAGTCATTTCAACTGTGATGCTGTGAATATAGACACAGTTCTTGTTGGAAACATAGTTATTATTAAATAGTTTTCAGCACAAACAGCAAAACAATAATAGTGGTAAATATCTGAGACAAACATGAACGATTTACGAGTGTATAGTTACATGAGATATTACTATCGTCATGTACATTGGGAGTTTGGTCCATTACGAAAGCCATACTTAGATAGTTATGAATCTTAGGCCATCTCTAAATGAACATTGAAACCTTAGCTTTCTTCTGATAGTCTTGATCAATTGTCGGGTTATTGCGATAGGACAGCAAAACAGGTTGTCTAACTAATATAAACTCATTTTTACACTAATCTATAATGCACATAGGCGTAATTTTTCAATGACCTAAGGATGATATAGAAAGAGGTGAAGTGTTAGACGGTTGTTTTAGAATTTGGAAGCAGCCGGCTGCAGCAAAACAGAGGAGTTTACTGAGGAACACTCTGTTTTGTTTTAATTTTTAAACTCATTGACTCAGTTCCAAACGGAGGAGTACATATCTTCGCTCAACCTATTATCTGGATTTAACTCGGAATCGGGTCTGAAACGAAGTGGACTTGTGCGGTATTTTAAGGTAAGACCATAAAATAGAGTTTGCGTTTTGTTTGAACAAAAATGCATAAAAACATATTTGGCTGTAGCAAACAAATTGTCCAGTGATTTATATGAGGTATATGTTCAATCTGATTGGACTGAAGGTCCTGTGCTTCAAACCTCACCGCTAGTCCACCGGTGTTTCCACATTTCACAGCGTGGGGTGTTGGTGTTTAGTGCTCTTACTCAGGACAGTTGAGATGTGATCAGGACGTCAGCAGCAAAACTGACTTTTCTAGATGGAATTATTGGCACTGTTTAAAGCAATGAGGTTAAAGGTTAATGGTCAACTTGTGCAAGTCGAGCGCAAATTATGTTCCAGAACAAAAACAAAAAGTAACGCACATTAGTTACTGTACTGGTAACTAGTTACTTTTATAGTGGAGTAACTCGTTAGTAACTTCAGTTACTTTTTGGGAGAAGTAACTTGTAACTATATCTAATACTTTTTCAAAGTAATGGCCAACGCTGCTTCCAATACACTCAACACGGACCATACACAGCGGGAGACTTCCTGGGCGGCGACATTTACGCAGTTAGAAATATTTCGATGCTGCGCGGCAGGGCGACGTAAGGGTCCCTTGCGGTGACCAACGCGTTGTAGGCAAGTGACGTTCAGTCACCTTCCGTAAGCTCCGCGCCCACGCGAGAGTATAAACTAGGGCATTAAGTGACGACGCATTGCACTCGCGTACACGCATCGCATCAACACTCGTGCACACGCACACACGCATGCGCACGCACACACTCATGCGCACGCACACATCTCATGCGCACGCACACACTCGCCGTACACGCAAACACTCATGTGCAGCACACACTTGCGCGCGCGGTTGGAGGGATGTCAGGGACGGCAGGAGCCGCCAGGTCTCGGAGGATAACTGGGCCTGGACCAAGCCGGGCGCGTCTCCGTTGACGCGCGTGGCTGCATGTCGTCGGACGTCCTTAAAAAAAAGACTAGTGGTCAACCGGCTGCAGCAGCAGAGGCTCTGGCTGTGCTCGTTCTATCAGGCTGCTTTGTTTTTGTAGGAGACACGTTTTGGGCATTGTGTGAATAAATGAATGTTGGCTGATGGAGGAGTCATGTGTTGTCGGCGTACTGTGTGCGTGTGGCGTGAGAGCGCTCCCTTCCCCCCCCCCCCTCCCCCCCCCCCCCCCCACCCCCCCCTCTGGGTTGTGTGTGTGGGGGAGGCGCGTGTGTGTTGCCGTGCATGTGTATTTGGGCCTGTGACCGCAGCGATTATTATGATCCAGCCTCTTACGTTGTTTTTCTATACTTATTTTGCGCGTAATACATTTTTTCGGACCCTATCGCCTCTCGCGGCTTTAGGCAACAGGCTGCCGCTTAGGTTTAAATAGAGTAGCGGTGTGTGATTTGAATGAGCTGTGGCTTGGATCAGGCAATGCACAAGCATATTGAAGCATTGACTGAGGACGTCAGCGATGGAATGAAGCAAAACTTATTGAAAGCTATTGGAAAAAGGGGAGAGAGAAAGAACTCTAACATATCTGTGTGTGTGGTGTGTGTGTGTGTGAGAGTCAGTCAGAGGGGGGACAGAAGCAAAGTCAGTCTGGTAGAGGGCCAGTAGCAAAGCCCCGGCGATCCAAGATGGCGCCCTATTCAATGAATGGTTGTTGCTCAGTGGCGGCTTGTGACTGCTATGGGGGCTGAAAGATTAGGGAAGTCGCCTGGAAAACTCTCAAAGGATCTATGGGAAGTCGCCTGTATTTGGGCATCGTCTGGTTCATCCGGTTCTGTGCAGTGTTTTATCTCCTAATGCGTTGGCTTAAACCACGCGTGTGTGGGTCTCACACCGGGTTCTCACGCACGTCACAGAGGGGCTCGCCGCGTCTGACCAATCAGAGCGTTTATCAGTGGGAGTTAGAGCAAAGAGCCAGTCGAGCTGCGTTTGTTTGGCCATTTAAAGTGTGGATTTATAAACAAAACCGAAGGATTTTTTATGAAGAAAAAAGTTTCAGGATGGCAAGGGACACTAAAATCCCACAAATCCGACCTTTATGAAAGCTGTAGGTTCTCTTTCAGCTGTAGGTTGAGCTGTTTTAATATGCATTGAGATTCTATGGGGAATAATTTCTGGGTAGCCCACGGTGAATTTATGTATGGTTTAGTCTGCAGTACCGGAGAATCCCACGAGCTCATGAGTTATTCAGGCTTCAAGCTGTTAATACCCTATCCAGATATTATAATAGATCCTTGGGACGAGCGAGATGTATGTAAAGATTAACTGTATTTACATTTATGAGAAAAATAAAGGTGAGGTACGATCAGGAACAAATTATTTAAAATTCATAATGAAAAAAAAAGTTACACACGTTTTTTAACTCACTGACTGACAGGCTTTTTCAGATTTGGAAGTGCATTCTGCCGCAATTTCAGGTGATTTGATCCAACTTTGAAGGTGACGCCACAGATTATTCATTTTTTAGACGATGTAAACACCAAGGGCCACCAAATTTACAAGATTCAACTCTCTGCTAATTTACTCTGAAAAAAACAAGTTTGTTCTAAGCCTCTTACCGTTCTTAGCTAGTCACCATTAGAACAATGCTTACTTCACCCATAACAA